CAACAGAAAGGGGGCTAGTTGCGTGGAGGCCCGCAGAAGTAAAGAGGAGCCCACTTGGCTGGAAGGCAGAGCTGACGCCAGCAGCCCAAGACAAGCAGGTGTTCGAGCCAGCGGCGGCGCACCCAGGTGACAAAACTCTGGTGCTGAGGGCGGCAGCCCCAGCCGCGCCGAGCACGGGGCAAACAGCGAAGGGCCCAGGCCGGCGGAACTTTTGGGAAGCAAAGGAGGGCCGAATTGGATGAGGTCCAAAGCCGATGGCAACAAGCCAGGGCACGCGAGGGACCGCAACAACGAGGACGCATCTGGGGTGGAGGCATCCGGCACAAGGAGAGCAAGACCAAGGCGGGCGGCCGCTAAAACTGCCGGAGATGGACCCAAGCAGGCGGCGCCTTTCGACGACGGCGAGGCGCCAAAGTGCGCCCAGTCCCACGCCGCTGGTGCCAAGTCCGACCGAGCGGCGCTCCGAGCCGAAGGCGAACTTCCGGTCCACGCGGCATCCGGCGCCGCCAGCGGAAGACCAACGCGGAGGCGGCCCAGCGGGGAAAGGGCGGGGCCAAGGCGGGCGGAGGAGCGCAGTGGCGGCAAAGAGCCCAAGTGGGCGGAGCCCAGAACAGGCGCCGGCGGAGCGGCGTGGGAAAAGCTGCGAGTGGACGAGGCAAGGCCCAAGAGGAAAAAGTCCAAGACGGATAGAGAGGCGTCCAGGTTGGTCTTCCCGCACGCTGCAAGCCCCAAGCCGGGACGGGCCATGGCACGCAAAAACGACACAGGATCCGAGCTGGCAAAATCCAGAACCGGGAGGCTGGCGGCAGCACGGGCGGCGGCAAAAGCAAAAAACGCCGACTCAAATCACATGAAACTCCTCGCCGGCAAAGAGCTCGCCACTTGTGTTGCTGCTTCTACCTCCACATAGTGTGGTTCAGCCTCTAGTCTCAGAATTTCGAACACGCTTCCAGACTCGCTCAGCGTGATCTCCCACTTGGGAACTGCTTTGAAGCTGAAGATGACCCGGGGGAATGCGGTGTCTCCGCCTTTGGGTGCCTCAGCACGCGCAGAATGGGTATGCCAATCTAAGCGCGTCCCCTGCGGGCCAAGAAAAATCATGGAAACCAACAATCAACAAATCCCTGGTGACAGTCTCCTTCAACAGGTTCCGAGGATGTGCCTTTCGCCTCTCATGTTCTCACCTCAGCCAAAAAGCCAAAAATCACTTGCTGCTCGCCCAGACCGGCTTTCAGGGGAGAGGTCGAAAAGAGAAACTTGGCCATCGGCGTCCCTCGGCCGGAAAAGGAAAAAACCGACAGCGGTCGCCTTATGCCTTGAAGCCCGCAAGCCAAAAAACCGTCGCAATCCACCCTGGCCAAAACGCCTGACAAGATCGCCAAAATAAATATATAAAAATCACGCGGAAGTCTGTATGCACCACTGCAACGCCCCATCTTAACATGCAAAATCCGCAGACTTTTGGCGAGCCCCGAGGACGTGGACACCTGTTGGGCCCTTGCCTATGATTGCCACCAGAAAAACCCAAAGCTTCAAAGGAGTCGCTTGGCATAAACCGAGGGCCGGCTAAGGCCGGAGCCCCGATTTGTTTCAAACGTCCCACTCAAATTTAAGGAAACCGTCTTCAACAGCATTAGAAGCAACAGGTCCTATCTGCTTTTTGGGGGAAATATACACACAAAAACCAACAAAAAAACGACCAGGTAGTGCCCCAGACTAGTGACCTAGGCTATAACATCGACCAGGGTTAACTCTTGGGGAAGCTCAACACCAACCTTTTTGCTCACTTGCTACTTTTGGGGTGAAAGTAGCTGCGAGATCAATTCCTTGGCAAACAAAGGGGATTACTAAACCTAAAGTTGTGGTAATCCATTGGCCTGGACAACGACTCAAAAAAAGGGCACCCGCAAAATAAGACCTACCTGGAACCCCAAGTAGCCACTTTTTCCAGCCACTTGACCCACTAGTAGCCCATAATTTGGTCAAAGTAGCTGGAAAATTAAGGCAACTGGGGAGCTAGGTACCCAAGACACACGCCATCGACTTTCACGGAACCCACCCAGGCGTTTCCAAAAAGGAGTTCCCTCTACTCATCGGAATTGATCTCGCATCATCATCTCGCATCATCATCTCGCATCTTTCACCCAACCCGCACGTCGCCCCGTCGCGGGTCGCGGGTCGTCTTGGGGTCGCGGCAGGGTTGATCTCCAGGGGCGCCGGGAGCATGACGATGCCCTCCTTCTTCAGAGCCACCCAACCCATGCAGGTGAGCACCTGGCAAAGAGGACCAACAAAAATTGCCTGCAAAAGGGGTATACAGATCTTTATGTCGGCATATGTATACATATATACATATGTATCGGAGGTACTTGCATACATGTATACAGAACATGTCAAACCGCTGCGTCCAGCTTGTGCGGTCCTTCCGACATCAGTGACCTCGTCTTCCCAAAGTGACGCTTCTTAGGTATGAATCTTGAGACGCGTTTGTTCTGCATTTCGCCTTCGCCCTTGAAACCCCGTGCCTCGCTCAGAAGGATGCAAATCGACAGCCATCTTCTCCAAGAGCACCGCATAACCTTGCCACGTCACAAAATGCTCGAAACCGCGCTGACAGGGGGCTTTGGAAAAGGCTTTCGCAGCCGAGTTGTGTCTCAAAAGCATGCATCGGAACGATTTGGGCAAAGCGCGGGGGTTGGCATCCCCCAATGGGTATGTGCTTTGGGGGTCTGAAATCAGGTTGTACCAAAAGGAAAGCCAAGTTTGCAGGCTCCCTTTAAACACATGCCCACATTGCATTTGGGGGGACATTGAGCGCCAGCATCCCATTGCCGAGAGCTTCAACCAAACGACTGAAGGCCGAGGGCTCCAAATAGCCAGGAAGAGATGCTGCACGACTTCCAAGGATTTGTTGTCATTTCTTCAGTAAAAGCAAGCAACATCTGCTCAGGGTGGCCCCTGCGAGAAACATGCCAGCAGCACAGTTCACCAACCGAACTCAACCCGTGTAGTTGCGAGATGTATACTTTCCTGGAGGGAAGATCGAACCAAGTCGCAAAAGAAATAATCATCTTCAGCACCTTTAATTTTGGGAGGCCACTGTGTTGCAATGAATGGCTTGCAAAATCCTCTTCTCCAAAAAATCGCAGCCCGCATTGGCTTCAGCAGGGTTGGGCCAACCTCTTGCTTCATGGTTGAAACCAACGTGTTGAAAGGGGGGCCACTTGCACCCGGCATGGAAGCGCCTGAAGAGCCGTGTGCCGGGGTTCCCTGCTCAACACCTCAACCGCACCTGGCGACACCCAAAGCTGGCGGTTGGGCAGTTTGGCGTGACAGGTGGGATTTGGGATCCTTTGCAACGAGCGCCTCTTTTTGGGTTGGCAAAGCCAAGCGGGGGTGCAACCAATGGCTTCAAGCATCATCCCTCACATTGTGAGGGTGTTCCATCGTCGACTCGCTCTGACTCACCCAGCAAGTTGCCTTGTCTGTTTGGGCTGGGTCGATTTGGAATTTTGATGTGTCGTGATGTGATCACTTGGCACAAAGCTGAGGTTGGTGCTGGTGGTGATGGTGCTGGTGGTGATGTGCCGCATGGTGCTAGAGTGGTGCTGCGTGGTGCTAGGTGGTGCTGGGTGGTCCTTGGGCGGTTGCTGCTGATGCCTCTGATTGACGATGACGATGCTGGGGATGCTGATGATGCTGAGACTGCGGAAAATGCTGATGCTGGTGATGCTTCGCGACGCTTGCTTGTAATGCTCGTGATGCTGGTGATGCGTATCCTGGTGCTGACGATGCGGATGGTACTGATTGTACTGATGGTGCTGATGGTACTGATGGTGCTGATGGTACTGATGGTGCTGATGCCTGCTGTTACTTGATCCGGCTGGTGCTGGATGAGGTAAATGATGATCCATGATCATGCTTCTGCTGGTAGGTTGGTCTGCTGGTCAAGGCGTCTCTCTCTCACCGGCGATCGACGGGCCTGCATGGCCTCCGAGCCAGGTCCTTTGCGACCTCGTGCCCGGAGCCCTCTAAACTACATGGAGGCTGAGCTAAACAGCTGCGTTCGTGCGAGGCGGCTTGGGCGCAAAGGTGGAAAATAGGATCCATTGTTGAGGGCCACAATTTGAGGTGGGGCCTAAACGGCAACAGGCAACAGGGTGAGAAGAAAAAGGCAACCCCGAGTGTGAAGCCTGTACAATTTTGAGTGACCAGAAAGGGAAATGCAGCTAAAGTACCTCGAGTTCATGTCTTCAGACCGTGGTTACTGAATTGGATCACATATCATTTTGCCTTAATTACATTGTTTTCTCGGAAACCGGGACAAAAAAAGACACTCCGGGAACTCCAAAGGGCCTGCAACACCACAAACGGTCAAGTTGGAAACCCTGGGTCCACTCTCGATGAGAATAAGCGGTTGACACATGGCTATGACTTTTCATAGGGAACTTGTTCACAAGTGGTGGGTGGATATGAACTGTAAATGATATCCACCACATCACAGCCATGTTTATGTCACCCTTTTTGACCTTTTCACCTTGGTTTGAGAGGCCAAAAGGAATGAGCGTCCAAATTCCTATTTTGACATTCAAATGAGGTCTGTTAAAAATCACTCATAAAGGATCCCCAAAAACAGAAGGGACAAAAGCAGTTTGCATGAGTTTGGCACCATCCTCGATACAATCCGTCCCAGGGCTTCTGAGACATCTCGAACACACGTGAATCCGGCCATCCAAAGCAGGCAGTGAGCCCAGAAAATGCGTCAGGTCGCCCAAAGGTTAAACTGGAGGCCCAGGAAAGGCTGTCTTGGAACCGGCGGCGCCGCATTTCTGAGGCCCCAGATGTTTTTGATCTGACCCAGACTCGCGGGTGCCGGACCCGCAACGGGATTTCGAGTCCTTGAGTCACTGGCTGAAGCCTTCTCGTGTGTCCCAAAATGGTTGGCCATCCTTCCATCCAGCTTGCTATGTAAAGACACGAAACGCTTGGACTTGCCATGGCTTTGATGGTGACTGCCCTTGACTCGCGGCTGGAAGCGCTTTCAGCCTCGGGAAGGTGGCCCGGCTACCTCTCACGGGCGCGGTGCTTGTAGCTCCTTGGGACTGCGCGAGTTTTTTGCTGGTTGGCAGTTGGTCCTTTTTCCCTCTGTTTTCCAAGCCCGGCCATTTTGGAGGACTCCCATTTTGAGACGTGCCGACAACCTGCCTCTGGATGAAATGGCCGGCCTCGCCCGACCGAATCAGAATGACCCTAGGTCCCTAAAGTGGATGCACTCGAGGGGTTTGGAGCCACACCGGCAGAAGGCCTTGCTCGGCAGCTCCTAAGTTGGGGAGGGGGTCTGTTCCTCACGGTCATGGTTCTTGAGGTGGAACTTCCGCGATTGTTGGAAACGAAGTTCCATTTGTTGGCTGCCAAGAAGACTTGAACCCAGAAAATTCCCGTGGGCAATCAGCCAATGGGTATTTGGCCATGGGCCAAAAGCCCGCACTCCCGGTGAACATCCCAATCCCCACCAAAACAAACCAAAACGGGTTGTGCACCTACCCCAAAATGGGATACCATTGGTTTCGACCCACAGCCATTTAAGTCCACCTCGTATTGTTTTGTGTTGCTTTCTACAACTCCAACCCTTGGAACAAGTTGGCCTTCCAGGTTATGTCTCAGGGAAGCGAGCCTCCTTTCACCAAAGGCGAGCTGTTTGACTTGCAGCTTCCTGTTGATCGGCCGCTTGCGCTCCGCACTCCCAAGCCCCAAAGTGGGCTTTGAGGCCAACCTTGTGGGAATATTCTAGGGGTACCTTCCAATTTCAGAAAACCGTCCAAAAACCCCTGGGGAAACAGCTGTGATTGAAAAGAACGATGGTTTAAAAGAATGGGAAGTCACCCCCTAGAAATACACTAAAGAAACATCAAAAGGAAACCACGCTGTTTGGGGGACTTCAAAAGTTCATCAATTCACTAGCGGCGTCGAAGGCAACTCGAAACGGAGGAAACGCGCAACCCATAAAACCTGCCCAAATTGAGGTCAAAAAAGGTAGCATTGGCGATGCGTTTAAAACTTGCTGCTATGCATTTTGAGCAGTTGCGGAGGGGCCTAGCACTTTGAACCGTGGTTGTGGGAGAAATAACACGTTCTGGCTTCCCTATGGTTTCCCTAATGTCAACCCCGGATTAATCAACCCCTGCTTGAAAAAAATCGGGGGGTGTCCCCTTTTCGTGGGGAATCAGACCACTTTTGGAGGGAACACCCTAATGATGGGACGGGTTTACTGACTCCTGGGTCGTCTCCCCATGTCCCGCCGGAGTCCAAGGGACCGCTCCATCAGCTGCACGCCTTCCCGCGCACGGCGGAGCTCGCGGGGCTCGCGGGGCTCGCGGGGCTCGCGGCGGCGGTCGCGCCGGTCTTTGGGCCGCTCGCCTGCGACGCCGATGTGTCGCCGATGTGTCGCGCTGCTTCAAAATATGAGAGTGGCGCAAAAAAAGAGGACAACCCCCCCCCCCACAAAAAAAAATGGGCCGTAAAGGAAACAGTTTGGACGAAAAGCGGTCTGGTGCTTAAATGTTGAGCGCCTTGGTGTCGTGGTCTTGTTCGGCCGTGCCGTTGACGAAGCTTTCCCTTTTTGTTCAAGGGTGCCTTGTTTGAGGACCCCCTCTTTGGTGTTGCTTTTCCGGGGGAGCTGGTGGGGGGAATCGTTTGTTTGTCATTTTTGGTCGGTGCAGACCTGGGGACGTGTCCAAACCCAGATGGATGCCTCTGCTCGGAATCTTGGAGCCCGCCGAATCTTGGGCCCTCGGAACCCTTTCCCAGCTGCAACCAGTGACCCCAGAAACAGAGAATCCCAGTTGGGGGTGACCATGTTTGGGTGGAAATTCAAAGGAACAACAAATGGATTTCAAGAGCGCGGGCAATAGCCTGTTCCTCAGTGCTGTTTGTGGGTTCAACATCTACTGTAAGCGCTTCAATAGTTACTCCCCTTCAGACTAACATGGACCCCCAAAGGCTGTCGTTATATAGAGAAATATCCTTTTCGCCAAATGTCAGCACCCCGCCACAAGAAAATGCGAGGCCGCCTCGCAGGTCCCTCTCGGAAGCCTCGGTCGCTTCATCCAAATCGATCGGAACCGAAACATGGCGGAGTCAGATAGATCTGGGCCCTGGTCCAATTGTTGTTTGGCTCAGTATCTAAGGTAAAATATATACACGGCTTTTCGGTTCAGCAGAAATCCAACCTGAAACCCAACCACAAGGCAACCACAAGGGCTTGGCACATCGTGCGAGCGGGCAGATGTTCTTAGCTGCGCCGCTGCTTTCTCTCACGGTCTAAAAGGAAGTGCGGAAAAGCGGACTGTCCGATGTCAGGGTTCAGGGTTCCTTTCCCCGAACGGGGTCCCAGAGTTCACACTCGTTGGAATGCAGCATTGACCAATTGGCTTGTGGTCAACACCCTTGTGCGGGAAGGCCAAATTCTCCCAGATACTGTTCTATGGGTTGATTCCCCCAATTCTCTTCACCCATCGTTCTCTGCAGAAACAGGGGGTACAGCTGGACGTGCGGATGGACCAAATTCCAGTTGGGATGCATGAAGGCCCATGAATACTGGTTGCTAAACCACCTACTGGTGCTATCCACAGCATCCCGGAGTGGTGCCAAGGAGGAGGGACACCAGGGTCCACAAAGGGGCCAACCCCCCAACTCACGGGGGTGCTGTCCAGCCGCGGAAGCAACACGCAAAAGATCCGTGGGGCGACCCACAAGGATCCAAAGTCCTGGTGAGTCTTTCTAGGTGAGTCTTAGGCAGAGCAGCCAGTCACAATCAAATGCCGGTGGCAAAAGGGGGTGTGGCCAGAAAGAATCCAAAGAATCCCTGTCTGCATCTCTTTCTCTTGTTGGACCCTACCTGCTACCCAGCTTTTGATTGTGGCGTGCCCGCGCCATGAGCGGCGCTCCAAAGGAACCCCGTTGGAACGCACAAATCTGCACAAGTTGAATTGAGGTCAGGTTGATAGTAAGAAAGATTTCGAGCGACCAACTCAAACACCAACTTGCACGATAATTCACGGCGTCCACAAGCAAGCGGCCTTCATGGCTGACGGGCTCCGCGAGTTGAGTAGCAATATTCGATGGGATCCTCATTTCAGCTGGTGACTCACCCGGAACTAGATCTTTCCAAAACACCTGCCCTCCCTCCCACTAACATGGCAACTGACAGAGGGTCCCTTCAAAAGGAAATTAATCTTCCAGGTACCTCCCAACAGGTGCCATGTTAGTTGGAGGCATCCCAACAAAAAAGTGCACCCTGGAGATCCCTATGAGTTCCCTCTTTCCTTTGGGCGGGCTGGCCAAAAGGAAACTCACCCACTCGCGCCTTGCCCAGGGCGGCCTGCACGATTGGCGAGGCCAGGCCGCAAAAGGTCAAGCACAGTTTGGGAGGAAGACATGGGGTCATATTATGTCTGCAAGTCCCCCCCCCAACATACGGCTTGCCGTTTTGCTTGATCAATTTGTCGCTGGCAATGCTTGTTTTGTCTACCTCAACCTCTGCATTGTTGAGTTCTCCGTGGTTCAACATCCTTGGTGCCAAGGTGTGGTTAGTGCTGAGACGCACCGATCGCCGATGGCCCTGAGTGCTGATTCCCACAACATGTCCATGGGAATCTGCAATCCAAGATGTGCGAACAGGACGTGTTGGTGTGGACCAACCGGGCAGTTGCGAAACCTTTCGCTGCTCTCGGAAAGATCTCTCCAAGGTTCCCACATGGGCGCCTGGTTTGCCTTGACCCCTTCAAGGGCGTGCCAGTGTGTCTCTGAAGCCAAGGGACCCCTTGTTCAGCTGCGAAATAGAACCAACCAGAGTCTTTCCGAATGGTACACCAACTCACTTCCCATCGCGCGGATTGGCCGAAACAAGCTTAAAATTGCCAACCAAGTTTCAAGGCCAGGAACATCAAGGAACTCGGGAAGTGGAAAAAAGCGATCCCAACAAAATTAGACAATCGACTCCTCGAGTAGAATCAGTAGTAATGAAGAAGCCCTAAAATTTCGCCCCTTCGTTGGTTTGGGCGTCCCTCGCAGGCCGACCCACCTACTTGGCACGCAAAATGCACGTGTCATGTTCAGAATCTGTGTATCATTCATTTTCCCCCTGACCAAAACAAAAAGTGCTGGCATGAGACCCCAGAAACCTCTCACACAACACTGCACCCGGGTTGCAAGCGAAGGCATTCGCGTTGGGGACCTTAGGTCTTTCATTCGGAGCCATTCGGGGGTTGATCAAAAGGTCCTTTACATGGGATGACGATTGGTGGGAAAACCACAAAGGTGATATGTCCCACATGAAAAGTGGAGCCCTTGGTCATGGCCAGGGACCCTAAATGGAATATTGATCAACCTCCATTCTGTGGATGGACGAACTCCTGCACCACTTTTCCGGCCATGGCTGAACCCTAACGTTTGTCGGCATTTATCGGGAAATCGAATCATTCCAGTATTTCCGCACGGTGGCGCGAAATGGATTTCAAGTCGGGCCGAAGGGATTATTGATCCACCTCCAGGTCACCCATGCCACCCACCAACGCGCCGTCGCGTTTCGACGGTGGATGCCATCCTGTCAGAACATATCCAATGGAAAAGTGGAAGCCATGGCATCCAGTCAGAAGAGGCTGCAAACTGTGTGCATTTTGGGTGTTTCCTAAAATGTACATTTTAGGGGACCCCCAAAATGAAAGCGGAAGAACTTCTGTTCCCGGCCTTCACGGTGCAGAGCCAGGCCCGGTCCACCTCGCTGGCGCGGCCCCGCAGCGCCGCCCGCCGCTGCTCCTGCGAACCGACGGATAGGAGCCGCCGCTAAAACCCGCCGGTAGACCCGCCGGTAGACCCTTGAAACAAGAGTCCTCAGGTTTGGCCTTCTGCCGGCTGAGTGGATTTCCATGGGAAGACAGAGGCGCTCTTTGCTTTGGTTGTTGGTTTCTAGTCGGAAACTCTCCAAAAAAGACTACAGGTATCTGGGGTTGATCAGCTTCGGGCAGCTTCGGGCAGCTTCGGGCAGCTTCGCGCTCCGTCCTGTGTATCTTCGAACTTCACCGTCTCGGCGATGCCCATCCTCGGGTTTTCTCGCTGGCTTCCCGCAAGAACCCACACCCTTCAAGCCTTGCAGGGGATTCGTAATAGAAAAAAAAAAAAAACGAAAAACACTCCCTTTCGTGGCAACGCTGCCAGAGTGTGCTGCACTGCGGGTTTCTCAAAATGGGTGGTGGAGGGAAACCGAAAAGAAACGACACAAAAATGGGTCCACTTTGTGCTGACACTGCTCGTGCTGGCAGGGAAGGCAGCCGGGCAGTTGTCTCGGGCAGTTGTCTCAGTTGTCTGCGTGTGTCAAAGCGAAGCACACCCCTGAAAACAGGGTAAACCAACACGCCCCAGTAATGAATTGAACGATCGTCCTTATCCGTGACTGCAAATTGGCGACGGGGTTCTAAGCAAATTACGGTTGATTTCCTGAGCAACTGGGGCACGAGTTGAAATCCATCTGTTCTTGTGACCCATCTGTCGGTTGGATGTTCCTTCCGCCCCTTCCCTGACTCCCAGCAACCGAAAAGAATAAAACTTGGTCGACGGTCAACACCAAACCTTTCTGAGTCAAGCCAAAGGATGCTCACGGGGGAAAACACACAGAACACCACCTGCTACTTTTTTGTCTTTCTGTCTTTGTGCTACTTGCGGCGTACCTGTCTCAACCGCCAGAGACCCAAAAACCGCCGGAGACCCATGCAGCCGACCGTTCCGGTCCAGCCCGGCCGCGCTCGCTGGGGTCCCGGGCTGTTCCGCACTGAGCCGCTGCAGCTGACGCCTGGCCTCCCGCACGGCGATCAGCTCCACTGCGTCGAAGCCGCCCCTCGCGGCGTGCTAGGCTCGGCGGTTTGGGCGCAGGGGCCATGGGTGTTCCTGGGCTTGGGGATTCATCACTTCGTCTGGCCATGTCTGACCTGTGATATGAATAGGACGGGCCCATCAAAATCCGGGGGGCCCATTGGTTTGCCAACTTGACCGGTGGTTGTTGTGAACGCCAAGGTGCAAACTCCAACCTGAATGGTAAGTAGCAGGAGAACGAAGGTAGAGCAATGGCGGCAGGTTGCCCAGGCGATGGGGAGACAGCCAGAGATTGTCCCAAAATTGTTTCCCTGACTATGTGTCCTTGTGGGTTCTCTTGAAACTACCCACAAGGTTTGTATAGAAACCCAGGCGTTTTGATGGTGTTGCATCACGCCCAGTCGTGTGATGTGGCTCCATGCTGCAAAGACCTCCTAGTTTTGCAGGGATCGCATGGCTGGCATCCTGCGCTTGCTACCTAGACACTGGTGGTTGACAAGCTCAGGTTTGGCCACGCCAACTGCTGACATAGGTCGACGCTTGTTTTCTTGGGTTTGGCTGCCCAAACAATCGGCCGACAAAGCCCCCAAAGACTCAAGGGAAGCCTTGAGAAGCCACATCCGTTGGGTCCCCGCAAAACCACCCCATGGACAAGGTTGGGCCAGTGATTCGCAAATTTGGCCACGTCCGAAACACCTTTTTGTTCGGGTACTTCCAAAAACCCACCATGGTTGTAATCCTCGTTCATCGGAAGAAGACAGTTATGAGTTATAAGTCATAACCAACGCACCATTTACCCAACGTACCCTTCGGTTCTTCACGATTAAACGGCCTCTGGATCTTCGTCACCGCAGCTTGTACCGCGGAGAAGTCTTCCGCATCGAAGGTGACCCGTGCGAAGTTGGGCAAACCCTCGGCATCCTGATCTTGCAGCTGGGCGGTGTACTGACCCCCGAAAATGTGCTGTTGTTTTCATGTTGGTTCTCTCTCACTTTACAGTCACACACAAAAATGGGATACCCTCATAACAAGGTACGCCCACCCTCGGCCACGCAACCTTGCCATGGCGAATCAGAGTCCCTTTTTTTTCAGGTCCCTCCTCCCAGACTCCCAGCCCACCCCCAAAACGCCATCAGCTTGGCCATAAAGGGTTGGGCTTACTTAGGCGGCTTTGGGGCCATTTCCTGTAGATTTTCCTGTAGCCAAGCCCTTACCCCACTCCTCCCGGATTGCCACGGAGCCCAAGAGAACCCCTTGGAGCCATCACCCCGCCCGAGTCCCGGGTCGCAGCGGGCACCTCCGAAGACCAAATTCATGGATCACCAGTCGTAGAAAAAATCCATGGCCCTGGTTCTTTGGGGTTGGGCTTCATGACCGGCTAAACCTGGTGGTCTAGGTTCTCCAGTCGAGAGGTTAGAACATATAAGGGTACCCCAAAAAAGGGTGAACGGGCACTACTGGGAAACCTAGTTGTCTTGGGCCTCGTAACCTACTAAACCCATCCGTCCGTTTTCCCAGAAAGGACATCTATGATTATGATCCTGACTTGTGAGGGTGTGGCTCAAAATTAAAGAGCTGGGGCAAACCGCAGGTTTTCGTCCTGGGCTCCATTTACCGTCATTTTTGGGGGCCATTTTTTCGAGCCACAGCCATTTCGGAGACGTTGCTCTCTTGTTTTTGTGTACGGCTTTTGTGGTTGGGCAACTCAGGATCCCTATGAATACGGGCCAACCCAAAACTGAACCATACCCGTGAAAAAAGCCTTTCTGGAAGGCGAACAGGCGCCAGAGATGTGCAAGAGGGATCGCTAGCCTCGTACTTTCAGTCTTCGACATGTGGCTTTTAGCTGGAACCCCCACCCTGCCCCAGCGAACCTTCAAAGCCCCCGTTGTCTCTGACAGCTCTCCCCCTCTTTGCCTGTCCTCAATCTCAAATTGCATGCCTGGGCAAGCGCCTGGCGGCTCGCGCGCAGTACTTACCTTCTGACACCATGGAGTCCGCAGATGTCTCTTCAAATGGGAGGCTCGTAGGGCGTCCCTTTTCTTTGGCAGCCAAGAGTATGTGGATTCACATCGTCGCAAAGAAAACCAGGAGGACACATAAGAAAACCAACCATAACGCGCTTGGAAGGGAAAGCACGCGGACACGCCAAAGTTGGCTCGGCGGAGCGGGAAGCCCCTTCAAGAAATGGACCTAACCACAAACATAGGCGGCCAGTTCCCAAAATCAACCATAGACAGGTTTCCCGGGTAAACGGATGGCACAACACCAGTCTAAACTGGTGGGAACCCCTCGATTTGTCCAACACCGAAACCTGGAAGAAAAAAAAGTCGGTCCAAAAAGAAGGAACGAAAAATCGATCGCCTTTCGAGCTCTTTCGACGTCCTTTGCGCTCGCCTTGGAGCTCTTTGCAGAGGCGCTTCGGCACGGGGATGGTGCGGGTCTGCCGGAAGGCCGTCGAAGGCCAAGGTGGCCTGGCGTGAAACCGGGGGGGGTCCTGTCGTGAGATCCTCCCCCCTACTTAAGGAATCTGTTGGGTGGTTTTCGCTGACTACCAGGGTCCGGATTCATCCGAAGTCAAACATTCTCCCACCCAAACTCGGTTGCCTGCTGCTCCCCGGCTAAAAGTTTTTAACTTTTCGTGGTTTGATGAAAAACCCATTAGTTGGCAAAAAAATGAAGTCCTAACATCCAAGCAAAATGCACCAAAGCAAAGGAAGGTCACATTCAGCCGGCACGGGTCTGTGATAAAGGATCCCCTCAGCGCAAGCAGCTCCCTGCCCAAACGAGCTGTCAACATCATTTGCGAATTTCGTGCTGAGGTCTGTTGCCTGCACGCCCCGATGATTGTATTGGTAAGGAAACAGTGAACAAGGCATCCATTCCGATTTGGAGTCTTGATGTCCAGCATACAAACTGGTCAATCCGGCCCATTGAGTTAAGATAACGGTGTAGGACCTGGGATCGCGACAAACATCCTCAGTGAACCTGCACACTTGCGAAAGAGCCCACACAAATAATTGCATGTCAAAATGAGGTACTCAAAATGTGGGCTCGTTCAGCATTTATCCGGATCTCGGGGAACCACAAGGGTCCAAGGCGCAATTCCTTGCCCGCTAGATGCTTTAGTTGGAGCCGGTTGAGGAATGGTATGAGTCAGAGGTTACTTGGGGTCAATGTTGAACTTCTGAGCATGTATAGGGGTGTGGTGGGAGGTTCAGGGTTTATGTGTGTGTGTGTGTGCACATTATATACAGTGGGTTTCAGTGTATACTTCTACTTGCGAGGCGTGCGCCACTCAGTCAAGCTTCGTACTTCGAAAGTTGATGAGCGGAGAATTTTCTCCGCTCAAGTGGGTATCTTTCTGAGCTTGGCGCCGATCCATTTCGTTGTCTTCCATGCACCAAAAGTGGCAACTTCCCGAAACTCTGCCTTACCAATGCCGCAGGTGGCCATTTGGGGGGTCTGGAATGTGGCAATTGGGGCCCGCCAAAAACACAACCTGAAAAGGAAACCCAAAGGAGCGGGGCAAAGCAGCGCGCAAAACCCGAGCCCAAGAGCGCTACTCGCGGAGCGGGTCCCAGATCCAGCTCCCGGCTTGCCGCTTGCCTCGCTGGCATCGGGGCGCACCTCGGAGCGAGCACGAAAGGAGCATGCTGCGACGTGGTCCTCAAAGTGGTGAACCCCCTGCTGCTATCCAAAAAGACACCACGAGAAACCGCTGGAGAAAACCGATTCCTTCTTGTTGCTCTGGGGGGTGGCAGTGCCACAGGCCACTACAGTAGCTGGCACGACACTCCAACCTAACCTTGCCGGGGTGTCTTGAAGGGGCCCTTCGCTCGATCTTCGCAACCCGAATTTGTGGCTCGCTTCAGGAGGCTCGAGTTCGTTCGAAGGCAGTTCCACCCTGCCAACTCGCGGCCGAAACCGTGGGAAACTGCTGGTGCGTTTGGCGGTTGGGGTAAGGACTCGACGTGAATCGACTCGAACACTGCAGGCGTTCCGGAAGGCCCTCTCACCCGAGGCAAGGACTCTTGCGGCGAAATGCCTTCGCGCGCGGGGAGGACGCGCATTGCGAATGAAGTTTGGTGGACGTGCCAAAGGTGCAACTGGCTTTTGCTCTGTCAGGGTTGATGCCCCATGTTCTTTTTTTGGATGGCTCCCATGGCTTATGATTCCTTTATGCTGGGATTGCTGAGAGATGGTGGACAAGTCCGGGAAAAGCATGGCTGCATCAAATGGCATGATCCTCGCTATCTAACATCAACAGCTGTTTTGACAGTTTGACTGTAATGACATCCAATGGTTGGGCCATCACTTTCCTTGGCGCCAAAACTTGTCTGCGGCTCAAAAGCCCTTTTCTAGATAAACAACTCTGCCGTAACACTTTTCCTCATGGCGAAGGAATGCCACCTTTGCCAACAAATGCCGCCAGAGCGAGAACCACCCACCGAGAAGCCCCTTCCGCCTCCCTGCGCGGACGGAACAACCGCCGCAGGCACCTCAGGTGGCAGCGGATGTCAGGCGACGACTTTGGGAACAGGCAGGGGGATCCAACCCAACTGATCAAAGCTTCACGTCGCGTCCTCGCTTTTTGTTGGCCAAAATGGAAAACCCCGTTGCACCATTCCAGTTTGAAAGGTCCGAATACAGACACACGCCACCCACCCAGGTGAAATATGTGGATTTCGAAGGGCTTCCAAAATTAGAATTCCACTGGCCAGTCTGCATCTTCACCTGGACAGCTTGGCCTCCCCTTGTTTCATAGGGTGTCGCTTTGCGAGGCGACCGCTTTCTTTGCGATCCAAGCGAGTGCCAAAAGCAGGCAAGTGCCACTTATCAACCATGCTTGTAAGCCACATGGGGGACATACAACCACGGAAAATTGGTATGTGTCAAGAAGGGGATCCCGGAAAAAAAAAAGAAGAGGCTGTTGTCCCTTTGGTTCCCTTGTAAGCCAACCGCTACAAGCCTCAAAAAAGACACCCACATCGATTCTTCACAATGTGTGCCCTTGCCAAAGGCTAAGTTGCGCGGCTGTGCAAGCTTCCGAACCAGTAGCGCCAGAAAAGGGGCGAAGCTGTGGCCAGTTCGTTCCCACTAGGATCATCGTTCCGATCTGGGCGAAATGATTGATAAACTATTCACCCAGTGCAATAAAAAAGGAATACGCGAGGAATTTGGCCATCATGAAGCCCTTTTGCTCGTTCTTCCCAGAGAGTGTGAGAGCTTGTTGTTTGGTGATTGGCAGTGCTTTGGCTACACACCATCCCTGGCAAAAAAACTTGGGGTTCTAGGGCCAATCCAACTTGCAAAAACGCTCGCTGGTGCTCAGTAGGGAATGAGAATCGAAATGGCCCCTGTGTCCACCATCCAACTGGTGGTTTCCTTTCAGACCAAATCCCTGGGGGCACATTCCAACTCCTTCCCTACCGAGATCGCACCGGCAAGCAAACCGCGCGAAACACCGCTGGAGCGCCTCCTCTGCCGCCGCCGGCGCCGGCTCCGCTTTCTCCTCCGCCGGCTCTGCTGGAGCAGACTCCTCCGGCTCCGCCTGCTCGGGCTCTTCCTCAGGCGCGTCTTCCTTCGAAAGGGGTTACTAACCCAACTCACACACCAGTCTTTGATCTCTGCCCGTTTTCGGATCCCCCGGCGAAAAGTTGAAAACTGGCTCGGTGGGGAAACGGGCACTGCACCAACGAAAAACCTTCAAACAAAAAACAAAACAAAAAACGGATGGCTGGGAAGTCTATTTCGGCCCCTTACCTTGTACCTTGTACTGGGTTTCCCCTTACCGACGGAAGAACCAAAACACGTCCCAAGCCTCAGGGTCTGCTGCTTTGGCCATGGCGATGGGGATGTCCTCCTCCGAGGATGGGTCGAAGTCGGCCTGGCGGGTGGTCAGCCAGCTGTGCTGTGGGGATCCTGGAAGAAGCGCCTGAAAAGACACGGCACGGCACCGAAATCCATATTGAGAAGCGCGAAAAAAAGGCGGTGCTCCGGTTTTTCCCTTTGGAATTCGACCCAAGAAAGCATTCTCGAAAACGAGGACGCGCCCACATGGCACCACCGGACCAGCGTGAGGATTCAGGGTTCCAGAAACCAGCCACATGCTGTCAGTCAAGTCAAATCCATTCATTCTTCCTGAAGCTTGCTGCGACGTGTTTCACAGAAAGTCAAACGGAACCGTCCCGTTTCACATTTCTATTTCCCCTTTGTTTGCGTTCCATGTTCAACCTCCCACCACAAGGACTTCCCTCCGACAGCAGGAAATAAGAGTTCTTTTCGCCGCGCATCCGTTCGCGCCTCGGAGTTACAGCTCTCCTCAGACTCACTGCCCTCCGACCTCTCGTCATCGCCTCAAGCAGAGGGACGTCGACCGCCCGGGAAAACAAAGACACACTGTGAGTGGACGAAATAGCCTGCACCTAGGATTGACAACACCCCACAAATTGTGTTTTTTGATAAACAGCACATACTAGCTGGTGTAGTTGTCTTTTCCTCAATCCACAATAGGTTCCCAAGATCTCCCCTAACATCACAGCAGGAATCCAATTGTTCAACTCGACCCAAAAGCCGAGGCTTGAAACCACTAAAGGTCAATAGTTTTGAGGGCGCGGCCTGTTTCGGGGGGGGGGGCCTTTTTTGGGAGATCAAAGCAAGAAGCCACCATGTTGGACGTACCCTAGTTTGCAACCCATTTAACCCGGGAGAGCTACTTGCTTTGCTACCGAACTTCGCCGCGAGTGGCATCCTGGGAACCTGCACGGGTACCCCCAAAAGGGGAGGGGAAGGGGGGGTTGGGAGGGCGGGTTTTTTCCCGAAATCAAAATGTACCTAAAAGTCCAGACCACCAGCGGCCATGGAAAAAAGGGGCACCGTATTGTTTGGTAGTTGAGTTGATTTTGAAGAAACGGGGTGAAAAAAAGGGAAACAAAGTGAAACAAGGGAAACGAAGCTGATTCGGGGGAAAGAAAAACAAAACAAAAAAAACTCCCAACAAAGGAGAACAAAAAAAAACACGGCACCACCGGGGGGTCTGGGAATTGTACCGGGGGGTGTTGGCTTCCTGAGGACTAAGCACTGGCCTCTCGGCGCTTCGGCCGCTTCCGGAGGTTTGCTTTGCACCTGGCGGGGCAAAACCACACCCACCGGCGGGTTCTGGGTGAAAGCGAAAGCTGTCCGCCCCAAACTCCCGGCAACAGCCCGGCTGCCGCTTGGGGCGGGGGTTTCTGGTTGAAAGCCCGAAAAGGAAAAGCCGCTGTCCACCCCAAAATCCCGGCGACAGCCCGGTTCAGTCACCAGACCACTCACTCATCATGGCCACCGGTTGAGACACAGAAAGCCCGTAGGACCCAAAAAAAGTGAAAAGCCTCAAGGAAGCGCTGTAGCGGGGGTGCAACTGTAGCTTCCCTTTAAACAGATGTGGGGAGCCTCAAGTTTCCGCAAAAGCCACAGCAACGGTGGGCTCTTGAAGCAAAACTTACATATCGTGACCTGGTTGTGGAAAATGTCACCTTTGTGATGCCAAAGTGGGATTCCCATTTCTACTAGATCACCTTTGGTACAGTGCTTTGCTTCCCGTTTCCTCTGCAGCCGTGGGCTCCTTGGTTCTCGATGTGTCCCAAATGCCCCCACGGCGTTCTAATGCGCAGCCCGTAGACATTGAACAGGGCGCAAAAAGAAGAAGAAGAAGAAGAAGCAAACAACAAAAGTGTGGGCCGTGCGGACGGCAACTGGGAAAACCATAGTGGAACTGAAAGAGCCAAAGTGGTTGGCTCCGCAAACCCCATCGGCACAAAACCCGTCGAACATTCGGCCCCTTTAGGGGGAAGAAGGCAAGCAAACTTAAACTGCTGACCTTGTCGGTGTTTCTCAAAATACACGGTGCCCTACAATGGGTTTGCCGTTTGGTGCCCCTCTACCCCAGCAAAAGGGTCTCCGAAGTCCAGTTTGAGTCACTCCCTTTTGGCTGAATCCCTTGTTGGAGGCCGAAGGAGCTGCCGGTTGGGGCCCCCGATTTGTCCAATACCTCAGATGCCCAGCGGCCACGGAAAAAAAGGGCGTCCTGTATTGGTTGGTTGAGTTTAAAGGGAACCCTTCCCGCAAGAAACAGGGCGCCACTGGGCAACTGGGAGACCCAATCCGCTCGCCGCAGAAATCCGCCGCCTCGGCCTCTGCGCTCACGGCTTTCGCTTGTGGAGTAGCCTCCTGGTTTAGCGCCAGCCACAAAGGCCCCATCGGCCAGCGGAAAGGGCGGGTTGGCCAAAGACCGAAAAACCGAACTCTGACAACACTCTAAGGGTTGATCCCTTTTCCAAACCTATTGTTGATTTGAGGGTTGGCTAAATATGGAACAGATCTAGACGTTGATCCCTTTTCCATTATTTTCAGCCATTCTATTCAAAAACCGATCGCCATTTCCCAAAAATTGTTGGTGGTCTTCTAGAAAGAAGGATCCCTGGGTTCAGAATGGGGAAGTTACCCCTAGAAACACATCCGATTGTCTCTGGGAACGATTCGGCATCCCTTTCCCCGGCAAACTCAACAAAGAAACCTCACAGAAAATCAAAGCTCATTAGTCATGTCATGAACACTCTGGGATTCCCTTGGCAACGAAGCTCTGTTCGCCGTCGCTTTGAAACGGGCAGCTTCCGGATCTTTGCCATGCCGAATCGTCTTTTTGGCCGCACGGGACAGAGGGGGTTTTGCAAAGCTTGCGGTATGAGACAAACCCGTTGCAAGGACATGGACCTTCACATGCACATAGATGTCGGTTGTCCCGGAATGATTTGTCGAGCAACGGCAATGGAGAGGCACGGCATTTCCAAAGCCGGCAAGGGTAGATGCTTCTTCCCTTAGCCGACCAAACCAGGCTTCTGCCCGGCTCAGAGAAGCCCCCAACCAAAATATGAGCCTTCAAGGCCAGGCAGTTTGGGGGTGTTCCTGTTGCTTTCCCTTTAAACCCTTTAAAGCCCACCAACAACAGGTACCAACTCCAAATAAAGACGAGCCACCCACATCGCCCCCATTTCGTCATATCTTTCTCCTTCCAAGAACCTCGGTTTAAGCGGACCCCTTTTCGGTTGGGAAAGGGAAAGTAAAAGGAAAACCGTTGCGCCAGGGTGCAAATCCTTTAAAATAAAAAAGACACCCCCAAATGGACCAGTTAATATCATGGACAGTGTGCGAGGGAACACCATCCGGTGGAAGGGTAGGCCTCACTACCCCTATGAAACCAAAGCGTGGACACTTTCACGAGAAAGTCCAACAAAAAAAAGAAAAACACAAATTCCCTGGATTCGTTCCCCAAAATGCAGCACCCCCAACAATCATATACAAACCCCAGAAAAAACGCAACCCCAAAAAACTAATGTCATCTTCTTGGCTTGACAAGTGAATTCCCTGCCTTGGCGCTTTGAACCGGCTCGGGCCGCCTGGCAAAAGAGCAAGAAAACCGGCAAAAGGGCCACAGTTCGAATGGGGCGTTTGGGCTCTATGTAAACCAAAACATGTTCGCATTTGTGCAATCTTAAGCCCCCGGCTATTCATGAGGGAGCTCCCTTTTTGAAGGGAATCCTTTGTTCCACGGGGACCCCCTGGTTAATATAAGGTTCATTAATCAGGGGTCAATATTCCGGGTGGTCCCCCATTTCTGCTTCGCTCCAAAGGGTCGGTAAGGCCTGTACGTCTCTACCCCAAAGCGTCGAAGAGGAAACGGCAAAAAGACAATCCCTTCCGATTCGTCGTGGAAAAAGCGTCTGCATGGAGCTTGGATGGGGTTGGGGGGTAGAGAATAACAACGTGCCCAATGGATTTTATGCAGATCGCGGCATGGTGCAAAAGCGCTCACGGCAAATGCGAAAGCGCTTGCACTTGCAGAGTCTGAGGGTGCCGCCAAAAGCATTGGCAGATGTGGTTTTCCAGAGCACAAACATGTACAAACATGGTGTGTGCTTGTTGCGAGCTTCTGCGCCATGCACAACGTCGCGAGGGAACTTTGCGTCAAAGGCAGTTCAGGTTGAGTCTCCAAATATTGCACAACCATGCACAAGACATGGTCAAAAACATGCCCTTCGTCCCTCGCAACATTGAGGCGCAACGAGAAAATCATCCAAGAGACCAACAATTGTTCCAATACACTCTGCTTGGCTTCCCCAAAAAGGGGAACCAAAGCCTGGTGGTTTCAACAACTTTCGCCTAACCCTGTGGTCTACTTGGAAACCAAATTCGGTAGGAATTGCTGGTCACCGAGGCCCTCGTTCTCCTGGATTTTTCAGGGGACCGTCATTTCCAGCATCGGCTGGTCTCCCAATGCCCAGGACTGGAGGCCTGGGTCGCTCTGTCTCACGGCGTTGCTCCTGATCTTTCTTTGAGGCCCTAACCACAAAGTACAGCTCAATGAAGATGTTAAAAACACACAACACTATATATATATATACACTGTATATGTATATACACTGTATATATATATAGATATACTGTATATATATATATATACTGCTGGTGTATATACATATTATATAGATATATATATATATATATGTGCCCAATTGGGTATGTATCAAAATGGGAAGGGGTACCAGTCTTTCCACATCAGCTTTTGCACCCCAGCCAAAACAATGTGATTTTGCTACATAACTAGCGAACCGAACCATAAGATGTAAAATAATGTCCAGATGCAATACTAGCTTGCTTTTCTGAATTCCTCAAAATGGGGGGGGGTTATCCCTTTTTGGCAATTCGTAATCCGCTGTGGGACACTACAAGGGCAAACACCTACTATCCTCTCGGATCCGGGTTGATGATTGAGCTGGAATAAACCAGCGTGAGCCTTTCCCAGCACTTGCGGTGTCTCTCTGTGTCTCTCTGTGTCTCTCTGTGTCTCTCTGTGTCTCTCTGTGTCTCTCTGTGTCTCTCTGTGTCTCTCTGTGTGTGGGTTTGTGTGTTTGTGTGTGTGATTGTGTTTGTGTTGCTACGTGTTTCTGTGCGTGTGTTCGTGAAGCTTGTTTATTTGTTCGGTTGTTTGTTCGTTCGTTCGTTTGTTCGTTTGTGTCTGCCCACTTGTGTGTTTGTGTTTGGGAGGGCTCCAAGATGCGAGACGAACTCCAATGAGAACAAGTGGATTTGGAGATGGCAACGGTGTGTCTCGATTTCCCTCTCAGCCCCAAGAAGGCAAGCCAACCAAAAACACGAACCACACGAACCAGTGAAATGCTCCGGCAACCAATTTGGCCATGGGCCACAACCCAAAAATCGTACCCCCAGTGAACATCCGATTCAATCCAACCACTAAAATAGTAAAATGGGTGGTGCACCTCCCCAAAATGGGATCCCAAAACGGTTTTGAGCCATGGCCATTTCATTCAGGGGCCCCCAAAATGTCCTCCAACATCTCCGCACGAGCTTCGAAACTTGCCAGGTCCCACAAGCGCAATGTCTACACTGGCATCAACCGTGAAATGTGCGTTGCCCCCCCCCAAAAAAAATGAAAAATGGAAAGGGAAAGGAGTCGAATCTCCCCCATTTCTATTTCTGGGCTTCAGTGTTTCCTTGATTTTGGGACATGTCGATTCTGTCCCCGAAGAATCGATCAGCCTTTTGCGCTCGGGAGCCTGCAAGAAGGGGTGCCCTTGAAATGCGGGGTGTTGGGGCGGGAATCTTTATCTGGGGTCTTGTCAAAATAGGGATCCCCCAAAAAACTGAGCTTCCTTTTGGCTCCCCCCATGTGACATGTGGTTTTCGCTTTTGAGGGGACCTTTCGGGGTTGCTTTCAAAAGGAGACCAAAGGGAAGCCCCACCTGGGTTGTGCAGTTGCCCTTGAAGACAACCCATCTTGGGTTCCCCTGGCATCTCCTGAACCTCAGGTCGCCGATCCTCCCGTGGCCGGGCCTGCGAAGGAAAACCAACTGGTATCTTAAGCCACGGTTTGTGCGGGAAAAATGACTTGCTCTTTTTTGAGGGAATCCGTACAAATGTGAGGATACGTGTTCTGTTTAGGCCTGTGCACGAAAACAAACGGATTCCACCGAAGCTTCAGTTTGGCCATTGGTGTAGTCATCATAGCGAGTGAGGAAGGTTCCTTGCTTTTTAAGTGAAGACACAAGGCTTGCACCCGGTTTGCCTCGGGCGGCTAGAAACACACCATCCAAAAAAACGTCGCAGCACAAGGGGCCGCTACAGCGAACCAGCCCGAGTTTCGATAGTCCGCGAAGATATCCTAGGAACGAAAAAGGGACAGCCTGTCATCCAAGAAACCAACGGAACGCCGATGTCCAGTCGCATGATGGTTTCTTAGACAAGGATGACATTGTCATTTACTGGGATAGGGCCGTGGAGACCATGCCCCTGCTTTGGAAACATACCCATGACATATGGGAAAGTGACATCCTCAGCTTTACCCTCGAAACTCACTCCCAAAAGTAAACTTGAGAACCCTCAAAGGCAGAAACACAAGGCACCCAGTCAAAGAAAAAGAGCTGCTGGGATTGAAAGTAAGATAGTATCTTGCAGCGCTGGTTGCCTAGCAGTCCTTGGAAGCGCTGAGCGAGTCGAGAATCAAACTGAGGTCGTGGAAACTACAACACCGACTGGAGCCATGCTTACAGGGCAATAAAATTAGAAAATGATTTAGCGTCTCACATTCAGATAAGGGAGAAACCGGAAGAGAAAGAGTTCAGAAAGACCATGCCATGACATCTCGGAAAAAACTGAAGCACGTAGTCTAATCATACATGGCAAGCACACACACACACACTTGAACTCCAGATGGAGAATGCTAATCATTCGAGTACAACTGATGAGTCTCGAGTACAACCGACAAGTCTCGAGTATGATGAGTTTCGGCTCGCAAGGCACTCGGTTTCCCTCTAGAGGCGAAAACGTTACCAGTTCCAACATGAAGCGCACACAGCGCCGCAACCAAGGGGCCAAATAGACTTTCAGAATCACGCAAATGTTGCAGGTACACACGGGTGATCAATCCGTGCATCCACCATCAAGCATAGCTTCGTTGGCCAGCGTTTGCTTGATGGCCGCTGGCCCCCTGCTGCAACAGAAAACGGTTTTGGTGGCAGGGTGTTCTGCCACTCCGCACACACACGCCCCTCTACGAGGGGCGAGGTTTCTCTTTTCTCCTGCAGGAAGATCACATGCTCAAACTCAAATCTCTATCGTTGACCAAAATATCCTCCACGGCGAGGGGAGCGAGACACCGCCCTAAACCGCTCAGAAGACGGGAACGAAAGATCACCACGTTGAGCATTGCGAGTGTCGCCATAGAGGACTGAAGCGATTTGCGAAGCAGCCGGCGATCACCATGAGAAAACGGAGTGGCATAGGTGAAGGTCTCCTCAACTGGAACGGCATCGGAGTTTCGAACTTGACCAAGAGTCTGATCATGTGGATAGTGAGTTGCGAAGGACTCAATCCGAGACAAAATGCGCTGGTACCCTTGGTGTTGCCAGTCACGGATGTCCCATGCCTGGACTGGCGCATCGGGATCCGTCACCCGCTGCCATTCACGAAAAGAATTTTCAGGTAGATCAGGTACGGCGTCACCGCGGTGCCATCGTTGAGGTTGTCCTGGAGTGTATATCCGCACCCACTCCTGATCATGCCAGACCGAATATTCGAGCCATGGGTGCTGCTTCGAATCATCGATGTCCATGTCGAGGCAAGAGGCAAGGATTGTCGCGGGCTCCGATCCAGCTAGTAGATGAACAAGCACCATGCATAACCATGTTCAAACAACAGCCAAGCAAGATCATGCACGTGTAGAGGCCACCCTTATTTTGTACGCTGCGCTGCTCATGCAAGTCTAGTCTTCAGTCAGCTCGAAGACGGGACTCATCTTGTCTTGGCCGCTGTCGGAAGGATTCACGGGCCTGTAGGGGTCGGAGACCCCAATCGTCTCCGATGGTGTGTTTCCACGCGATGCACGTACTGGTTGATGAGGATGGGAGGCCAGACGTGCGCGGGCCGTCAGTTGTTGAGAAATCCCCTCCTGGAGACGAGTCAGTTCTTCAGTGGAGAAATCAGCCGCATCCGAGGACCTGAGAATCGCGTCTAACAGCTCCGGCGACATACTCAATGCCGCAGACTGCGTGGCCACGCTGTGATGATCGGGGGGATAAATGGAATCAAATTCATGACCAGCGTGAGGGGCAGCGATTCTCCGATAGCCCTCTGTGGCCCAGTCTCGTTTGTACCACGTAGTGACTTGGACTTGCCCTTCGACTGAGTCCTGGTTGGGAGCATAGAACTCCCTCCATTCTCTAAAAGTATGCGGAGGAGGTGGAGCATCATGTTCTTCTTGTGGCGTCCATGGTCCTGGATGAAAGATCTTGACCCACTGGGCATCTGGTTGTTGAGGGTCCGGGCACCATTCCAGCCACGCCATGACAACGCAACCACGGAAAGACAAGTTGATAGGTGTACGGCTGCAGACAACAACGAGTGAAAGCAAATCAACTATCATAATGCAAAAGACCACTTTTGTAGCACTGTGCGGCGCCAACATCAAAGTCAGACTCTCCAGGAAGGCGAGGACGGGCATCAGCTATCATGTGAATTAGATGATGCCGAGGAGGAGGTCAATCCAGCATACATGAGGTCCGGTGCACCCGAAGCGAAAACTGGCCTCGCTATGCTGGGATGTGGACGACCCAGGCGTTGGTACCCTTGGTGACCCAGTCCCTGTAATACCAAGTGTAGAAGGTGGCGTAGGATACCGGTTGCAGAACCGTGCCTATAGTTGTGCCGCCCGTGCTTTCCCTGGGCCAGTACACTTCGAAGTGGTGGACCTTGCGCCATTCCCGATAGGTGGACGGGTCATCCGGGGCCGGTCCCAGGGTGTCCGGGGCTACTGGATGCCACTGACCCGGTACATAGATTCGAATCCATTCCACACTCGTTCCTGCCGGCCCATTGACGATGTCATAGTCAAAATAGCGAGGTAGGACCCATCGTGCTGCACCCTGCACCGTACTATTGAACATTTCAACCCGACAAGCTGCTCAAAGTTATCACGGAAAGCGGCGGACATATAGAGACGGCATGCACAGCACCAAGCAAGACAACCCAATGAGAACTCACATACAAAGCAAGCACAACCGCGTCTTTATCCAACATGCTACTCAAGTGTCAATCCGAATCATTCCAAGGATCATGGAATGGCGGCGGTGACGGTTCCCGCCACGCCCCATCCGGTACCGACGAGCCCACCGAGGACTCGATGTCTGCATTGACGAGCATCGCGAATCCGATGGATTGGACAGGAGGTCCAAGTCGTTGGTACCCTCGCGTTTGCCAGTCTCGGTACTCCCACACGTGATAGGACACATAGGAACTGGGCGTGGCTATAGGATCCATTGTGGTGCCTCCGGTGCTGTCTTCAGACCAGTACACTTGGAAGTGATATGATCTGCGCCACTCCCGATACGTGGAAGCGTAAAGTGGGTCCGGAACTGGCGCCTCCTCAGGAACGGGCCTCCAAATGCCCGGAGAGTAAATTCGAATCCATTCCACTCCTCTATCGATCTGGTACTCGAAATACTGGGGGTTCATAGCAGCAATACGGGCTTGCACGACTGCTAAACCAGTCGAAAGTCTGCGGCAAGGACACACATGCATTGGCAACCGCACATATCCGCTGAAGAGCGAGGCAACTTTTCAAACACAAGGTGAAACGCAGCAACGAGGTCGGAAATGTCTGACTCCTAGCTTTCACTGTCGTTGATGTCGCGCACACCTGCAATGATAGTGACCTGGTCGTCTACGAGCACAAAAAGACATTTCCGTCCATGGCGCAGGATGGCGTGACAGTAATGCTTGCATGTTGCCGATGGGGATTGCGATAGACGGCCAGCACGTTTGGAATAAAACACTGTAAAGGGCCGTCGAGATCGCCGCGGCGCTGAAGCTGATGCTGTCCGAGATCGTTTGGACGAGCGCCCTGGACTGCGTGGTACTTCATCACGGGAAGGGTCAGTGCTGTAGATCGAGCGGCGTGTGCGCTGCGATTTCGAAGAGGTAGGGCAGGATTGTCCGCGAGGGGCTGAGATCGAGGGGCTGCGTACCGAGGGCATAAACTGTGGGTGTAGAATCACCGGTGGTGGTGGTGGTGGTGGAGGAGGAGGTGGAAGAAGCAATGGCAGACTTGGCGGGGGCGGAGGCGACGTAGTCAGCCGAATGGGTCTGTCGAGTAGAGCCCCGGGTCCATGAAATTGTAACCACGTCGGCTGCGCTCCATGGGTCCAGGTAATGTACGTCTGTACAACTTGTTCTGACATGATTTGAGCAACTCAGGCAAGACATCACTGCATGTCAACGACATCTCACAACACGACAAGCAAGATTGAGTCACGTGCAAGCAAGCAAATATCATGTGATCAACAACTCGAACCGGACACACCGCCGCCGCTTATCATTTGGTCCATCAACGGTCGCTGCTGCATTTGACGGGCAAGTTGTTGATAGACCTTCCATGCCTGCTTGACTTCCTCAATCGGCTTCTGAAGAAACCGCGCTATGGTCTTATAGGTGGGCCTGGAATCCTTATCTTTCTTCCGTCTCACCATTTCATCCAGCTCGCCCTGTGTCCATGCCGTGAAAGGTTCACGGTATGCATTGCGAAGTGCAATGGTAAATTCTTGTAGAAGTTCCCGAGGACCATGAACCACCGTCGGCGACGGCCGAAACGACGAGGCACCTGGATGCGGACGTACCGAACCATCAGAATCCGAATCAGGTGTCGTAGGCGTCGTCTGTCCTGGCTCTCGTCCACCGTGTGCCGCGAAAGGAGCAAGGGGACGAGGCGGTGGCAGTCGATCCAACATAGATTCGGGCCGAGTACCAGGATTGTGGTCACTAGCATCACGATGTGCCGCTCG